CCCAGAGTATTAATTCTCAAGGAATTTATTTTAATTATTTAGTTGGCAATTTTAAAGAAACAAGAATTATTTAAATTAATTTAAACGAACTTGAAATAAATCAATTTCAAATGTATTTCCGAAGGAAGATTATCGATTTAGTTTCATTAGCGTCCTTCGTGACCGACTAAAGTATCAACCAAACAATAGCCGCTTCCGTGACTTTCGTGAGTGTCAGTGAAACAAGTCTAATTACAAGGTGATTGCTTCTTTTACATTATAAGATTGTCACAAAGAGAAATGATAAAGAGCGATGTCGAAGCGTAAACAATAAGCAGCGATTAATTAATCTCGCGTAAGCTCTTGATGAAGATTAACAAAAGCATTCAGCGACGTTTGAATATACCAATAAATATTGTTTTATATAAATATTAATAATATTAATATTATTATGTAATTAAATAAGTTTTATCTCCTTTTATCTTTATCTCTTTTCGAGATTGTCGCTGAATGTTTTCATAATAAGTTAATGAAGAAATTATGAGGTTCAAACTAATTTAATTTTATTATAATATGAAAGCCTCAAACCTTTGCGTCCTTCAAGATCAGCTGCCATTTCCACCGTGAGAGGAACATTCTCATCTTCGATCGCCTCTTGCACATCGTCGATCAAAACTTGATATTTTATTCCGCAATTTTTGAGTATCGATTCGACGTTGCTAAGCATGTAGCTTCGTACGAAAATATCAACGGCCGACGGGTGGTTCGACCATATTGAGTACGCTATGTTAAAAAAAAAGACTCCGTTTAACAGTATGCCCTTCTAATCCCCTATAGTGCACATCTATTTCGAATTAGACGTAAAATTATGTTTTAATAAAAATTTTACTGATTACATACAACCGTGCTCGTCGTATTGCTGCACCAACTCAGTTACGGAATCGTTGTGCTTGTAGATCCTCCACACTTGATCCCCTTCGTATATGACTCGCTTCTCCAGATTTTTTCTAAACGTTTGCTGGCTGAAATCACTATTGTAAGCCGCGGATTCTTCTAATCCTGGATTCACAACGGTAGCATCAGCGACAAAGACGGCGATTGTAATCGTCGTCAATGTCAGCCATCTCATGCGCTCTGTTAGTAGCTGTCTGCCGTTGCCCATTTTCGCCGAAACTGTCCCGAAGAACAGAATATACACAGCTTTTATAATACACGGCACGATTGGTGATCGGGAGTAACGGAACCACTCGATCGAGGATCCGAGGATCGCCGAATCCGCCGTCGTTTCAGATCGAAATAGATATGTGTCAAAGTTTCTGGAAGGGCAATAACTAAACAGAGTCTTTTTTTAATTAAACAATAGAGTTAAAGCAGGACTCTCGATAAAACTGAACAACACGCAACACGGCCAATGCGAGTCTAAGGCAAGCCTATGCTTATAATTTATTAACCGGCGCTATAATTAGCGCTGTCTAAGGCAAGTAATTTAGAAACCTACATCTTGCCTTAAACTCGCATTGGCCGATTCTTGTGTGTCGTTTTACTTGTTTTTTATATAACATATTCGACATGGTCAAATGGTTATTGTCCCTGCAAGAATTCGTTATTACAACTGGCCCATTGATGCACCGCTATTTTATTCAATTTAGAGCGCCGACGCAGCTCTCAACGATGACGGCGCAAATCGCGAGCAGACACGCGGCTTCTTGCATCGTTCTTGCACCGTTGCATCGCAAAACGTGTGATCGCCTTAATAACCGATTTAAAGAGGAGCCGCAACGTCCGTATCAACTCAGGACAACATTTGGGGCGAAATCGTAAAAGTATGAAGTGCCTGTTGACGATCGTCGTTCTCGTGGCTATTGCCCCGTCCATTAAGGTACCGTTTGCTGTGTGCTAAGACGATTTTATGTGTATTTTTTCCCAGTAACTGCATTTTTTGTATACCGTTAGTATGTAATTCTAACCTTTTGACGTAGAAATTAATTGTTTATTGTATTAGAGTCCTCTATTATACCTTTTTTATGTCTTTGTGTCTAACTGCGACCAAAGATTTTTATGACATTTCAATATTAATTCTTTGCATTACATGCATTTTTATAAAAGCAACAAAAATCTAATTTATCGCAAAATACTGTATTGGACTACGATAAATTTGTTTTTGCGTATCTTTTCGAAATTTGATCGAGGAAGTATTACATAATAAAACTTGGATACTATTTTTACAATGAGTCATCTGATTAAAAAATTAGAAAATTGTTTTACACATAGAAAAATAAATAGATAAAATAGTAAAATAGGTCAGGCAAACGTGTTACCTCTATAGTAGTCATAAGGTTTCTTTGGTCGCTCCGATACGTGCATGTGTGCATGAGGCTTTGAACGCGAATAATTCTTCTGCAAATGTATTTGTCTTCTGCAAATCTCATTGAAAATTGTTAATAATTTTGATGAATAGATGAGCAATTTCAATATTATTAATCTCAAAGCATCAATATACACATATATGTATATATACATATACAACAATGCAATTTTAAATTAACACGCCACAAGTATTCTTGAATAAATTGTGGACTGACAAAACAACGCACAAAGAAGATACGTTTTTAATTTTCGTATAAACCTGTCTGGGTAAAAGATAATCCATATGCTTTGCGACAATCAGCTTATCGATGTCAGTTTCAATTGTACGAGCGGCGATATATGTTGATATATTGCCCGTCATATTTTTTTACGTCACTAGATAATAACGTTACCGGATAGCATGTTCACTTCACAACTGTTTAAACAATACTTCGCCATTAACAATATCTTTCGCCGTGGGATTTCAACATATACATATGATTAAATGTAACACGATAATAAGATGCTTCCGAACTTATGTTTATATAAAATTTTTTATTTATGTAATAGAACAGACCGTCGAAAGAATTGTTTAACTGCTTAAAACACACATTTTTATTGTCTCACATACTTTTGTTCTTTACGTGTGGTTCTATGAGTTCTACATTATTTATTTATTGTATTCTTCGGCGTGTTCACATGGACTTAGTTTTATCTCTTATAGATATACATAGATATACATTTTATTGATTCCCCTTAGGGTTACAAGGGGTTTTTGAAGGAACGTGCCCAAACCTCTTGTAACACTTCTCTCTCTATATCCACTTCTCTATGTGGCGATCGAACGAAAAACCAAGAAGGTTTGGTTTTGAACCCAGGTCTTCGGATTACCAGACCAGCGCACAATCCTCTGCGCCACGATCGCCACTGTTTTATCTCTTGTAATGAGTTATGTAATTGCATGGAACAGGTGAATAAGAAAAAATTTCCATTTCAGGCGGAAACATTCAAAGTCACAGATCAAATATACTTCGATATCATGATTGATAACCATCCAGTTGGCAGAATTGTTATTGGCCTATTCGGCGATATTGCGCCGAAAACAGTAAAGAACTTTATCACTTTCGCCACCACTGGTGTAGCTGGAAAGAAATATACGGGAACGAAATTCCATCGCGTGATAAAAAAGTTCATGATTCAAGGTTACGCTCTCGTCCTTAAGATTAAAAATTGTCCATTTTTAATTCCACAATTACGCGTATATTACAGGTGGTGACGTCGAAAATGGCGACGGTACCGGTTCGCTTAGTGTTTATGGCAAATATTTCGACGATGAGACTTTTGAAGTGAAACACAGCGGGCCATTGTTCGTCAGCATGGCAAATGCTGGAAAAAACACCAACGGTTGCCAATTTTTTATTACTACTATAGCAACACCTTGGCTAGACGATCACCATACAGTATTTGGGAAAGTAATAAAAGATATATGTAATTATATAATACATCCGAGATAGCATGCATGTCTAAAAGACATTTTTAAAACGGCGTTAAGTTACCCAGGCACACATTGGTTCCGAAACTATTTCACAAATGTTTTTACGTAACGTTTCAAAACCGTGTTATAGAAAATTTATCAAATGTAAACATGTCCATTAAACAAACGTATTTTGACAGACTCAAATGTCTGCACTTCAAAAATACAATTCGCATATATATAATATAAAATATAATGATTTTTTACTCTTGCTTCAAGCCAGTTACAAAGTTTTATATAAAAAAAAATAATACCGGCAAATTTTTAAGTAGAAATTAATATTGATCTATACTAAATATAGTAATTTTGAACCGACAGAATCAATTTTTGTTTTTGTAGAAACGTGAAAAATGCGTGTTTAAAATTAAGGTTTAAAAACGGTTTCTATTTAAACCGTATCTTTATGGCACTCAACGTTTCTTAGACATTAGACACGTCTAAGAGACGTATTTTAAACTAACGTGTGCTGCCTGGGTATCTTTTAAACAAGTACGTCTAAAGTGCCTTAAAGATATCTTTATGACGGCTTGTAGACGTGCATTGCTATCTGGGATATTATAATTCATTATTTGTGTCGCACGCGTTTGGGAAGTAATCCGTTAGACAACATTTTTTACTTATGACTTATTAATGGATTATTATTATTTTAATACCCTAATGCACTTTGGTACATTCACGGCACCTTTGCTCACATAAATCATTCCTTTCGTAGGTGGTTAACGGCGAAGCTGTGGTCTTCAAGATCGAACAGACCAAAACGGATAGCGATGACATTCCACTCGTTCCCGTAATAATCTACGACAGCGGAATTCTACCAACGGAGCCATTTACCATATCAGATAATCCTTACGAGTAATTTAACATTATCGACGTGACTTTAATGTTATTAATTTGTCCCCTTCCCCGACCCTTTCCTAGCGTAATTGCACCGTTGCGCTCCCCTTTATTAATTACAGACGTGTGCGTTGATGACTTGAGAGACGTAGTTATCACAATAATGATTAATTACTTGAGTAACATTACACGATGTAGTTCGTTATAAATATTTTTATACACTTTGATAGCTTCGCTGCGCACAGTTAAACATTTTCGTTATATTTCGGAACAATTTATGTTCTTAATTGTTTTATAGTATTATTGCGCAAATGAAAAGACTGCCAAGTAGACATAAATGCAACGAGAAACGTTGAAATTTCAATACGCTTGCATGGTAGATTGAAAATGTGCTCTTTGTATCCATCCTTTTGACGTACGCCTTTATCTGGACAAATAATCTTTTGGTGACACAACTGAGTTTGTAATTCATTAATGTAAAATTAAAATGTGCATATTTGCAGTGCATGGGCGTGGATTAAGGCGACCTGCGTACCGTTGGGATTTAGCTTCTCGATACTCGCGGTCTTTCATTACATGATGAAACAGCTGGACGTCTAAAGGCGATCAATCTCGAGATAAAAGACTGATTTTAAATAACAAATTTATGCCTTAACTTCTATTCTAGATTTCATATTTATTTTTCTACGTAGAACTGTGATGAATTGTACGCTACTTAAGTATATTATTCTTATAAAAGAATTTGTATTGCGTGTAGAACTGACACACAACGTAGCGCGATTTGCTTCGATAAGACGAGGAGCATCAAGCGCCATCTCCTTGAAGACCGCGATAACAGCATTCAAAAATTGCTCCATTTACTTTTCGCAATAAATTAATAAAATACAAAAACTATATATGAAATGTATATAAAACATTGTATTTTCTGTGATTTGATATTCGCCTGCCATTACAATACAATTACAAAACCATATACCACTGTAGGATACATGGTTTCTTCACCATCACACGATAAGATATATTAGATACGTAGAAAAGAAAGAGACGTAAAGAAAAACGTTGCCACAAATTAAATCACGATTAATTGTATTGAACGGCGAGGCAGAGAGAATCGCATTAGTATAAGATAGTGTCAATGACGCACAAAGTTATATCGCGCATGCACACTACTGTGCCGTGTAGACGCGGATTTCAGCCTTGGCTAGGCTTCCGAAAGGCTGAACCAGTCGGTGGCAGACCGGCGTCGATCACGAGGCGTCAGTGGTCGGCGGAAGTCGGCTGTAGTCGTATGTAAAAGAGACTTGCGAGTCGGTCGATGCTCCGTCGACTTTGTAAGAGATGACACGTGGACGCAGTCATTCATAACATCTCGAAGAAGTGCGCAGGTAGTTGGGTGTATCGTGGGATGCGCGTGTGTCTGTGATCACCGATGGTGTATTGCTCTCGCAATTGCTGTGAAGCGTGCCGGGAAGCGCATGTTGCTCCCTTCGGAGTTCGATCGGTCTAAGGACAGCTGGGAGAACGCACTTGAAGGGGGATGCTCGGAAACGGTGTATGAGCGCGCTCGCACAAGGTACGCTAGCCATTTTCTACTACAATTTGCATCGAGGCGAGTGCAGAAATAACTGCAGAATGTTTGGAAATTTTCGCTGCGCTATTTATTGATCTTCGATGTCGTGAAGCAGGTCTCTGATGACGGATGAATACTTGGAGAGCATGTTTTGATTGAGCTGTGAAGAGATTTCTTCCTTTAAAACTAACGGACATATAACATCTACGGGCATTAGGAAAAAAGCATGACTTGACAGATTGCGTGTGTTGTCTCAAATAAAATAATTTGCTCTCCTGACAAGAAATTTCTTGTAATAATCGTAAATCTTTCGACACGATTTCTCTGATTCTTGCAAATCGAATTTGAAACTACGAATAAAATTAAGTAAGCGTGATCGTTACTTTAATTTTGCTTCGTACATAATGAATTCAGTGGATAAGTTTGATAAAATTCAAACATCAAAGTTATTCGTATTCGTTGTGGGTGTAGTAAGTTACGTTATCGTCTAGTATCAGCATTGTCGACAATTACTGTAAACGGAAGCGTGAGCCATTGCGAATGTATGTCGTGGCCAAGGACGGTAGTCCACACTCCACGACGCTGTGTTGACGCAGATCCATCCATAAAACAGAAATAACTACACGAACCAAATTTCTACGAAATTTTTCCTACACTCTGAATAGTAGGACAGATTTTTTTTTTCAATATAGCGCTGTCAGATTTTTCACACTTACGCTTCTCTGATAAAAATAAACTCAAAATCTCTAAATAAAATAGATAAAAGGTAAATTGAAAACTTTAATATTTGTGTAATACAAATAATACAGTTCAAATGTCATTCCTGGCTGCAGTTTGTTTTATATAATGCGAGGTTTATAGTACTTGTGTGTATAATTGTGCAACGTTTATTGTGCTTATATAATTATACATAGATATTAGTGCAATGGTGGATGTAGTTAATAACGAAAGACGTTTAAAGTAAGATATTATATTTCTCTTTTATTTTACAATTGGTATTACGATTGGTATAAGCGGATTATATCGCACAAGTACACAAGATTTCTTATGCACACACGTGTACTCAGCGTCTGTCAGATAACAAAGTACAAAAAGATTTTCGAAATTATTATTAACGCGGCCCTACTAATCGCTGTGAATAATATTAAACCTTATGTTTTACTTTGTCTTGGATTATTTAGTAATAACTAATGAGGTAATTTTACCTTTTTGTTGCTGTCAAGTTCTGTAATTCGCTATTTATTGATTTTCATCCTATTTATAGTTGCACAGCGATACAATTCGAACTACATTACTCAATTGATACGAATTGGAATTAACTTGCAGTCACACACGTCGGAAAAGTTAAACAGTCAACTGTTAATTAATGAATCCTCTTTGCAATTTCCTGGAAAGTCTGTTTTTAGTGTCTTTAATATATTTTTTCGAACTGCTTCAAAGAATTATTGCCTCGGAAGAATCACTGGAGGAACTAATCTAAAAAAAGATGTGTAATTTTCACATTTTATAAACTGAACTACAGTTTTTAGACGTCGAGATAATCTATCGCAATTATCAAAACTATATAGAAATCCCGTGTAACGTTTCACAGCGCAATTTATTCTTCGAATGTGTATTCTCTTGATTAATCCCTCGTTATGGTGTGCGATACGCATCTGTACACGGAACATTAACTCGACACGCAACGTGCACATTTCGTATATTATTGTGTACTACGTACCTCAATCAAAACGTGGTTTTCTGTACAAGGAGATAAAGCAGGATATAAATGTCGAAGAATATTAATAATAACTTTAGATATACGTGACAAATAAATAGTTCGTACTTTTTTAACACTATTACATTCAAGCAAACAGTTACAGGATTGATTAAAATAATTCTTCTTATTAAATCATAGCTTGACCAATAGCCGGACCAATAGACGGAGTCGGTTATTTGTGATGCGTAATGAATGACGGTGACAGTAGATGTCAATGATTTCTTCAGTAGCATGGCAGTTCATTACTTGGTTACTTAACCGATTGGAATTTGTCTCATATGTATAATAATTTATGCTGTATCTACAAAAATTAAGTATAAATAAAACATTACTGCACGAATAGCGCAAACAACATTATATTACTCTCTAAAGTTTTCGAGTGAAAATAGAACCATGGAGTGAAATATTCGCTCTAATAGAGTAAATATTTGCTCCAATAGAGAGAATATTTCACTCCATTGTTCTATTTTCACTCCAAAAACTTTAGAGAGTAAATGATATAATAAATTTTATTTAATAAAATTCGTAATATATTATGCGACATCGGTTATATGGCTGTAAAATTCTTTAGACGTTTCAAATAAATGAAAAAAAAACAGCATGCCGTTCATAAAATTTTAATAAATCTATACATTTGCATCATTGATTAGCCTTCTATTTACGATTCAAGTAAACAGTGAAGTCAGATCACTAATTAAACTACCGCGCAATACACGTGCGAACGACGTGGAAACATTTAATGAGTATTACATTTACATACGATCTCGAACGAGTCCTCAAGACAAAGCACTTCGAAAATTGATCGAGAAGTGTATGGAGAGGTTATCGATAGCGACTTCAATATCCCGAGATAAGAAAGCTGTTATATTTGTACATGAATCATGCACAGCATATATGCGTTGTCAATCATGATATTATTTATCGAAGGGGGAGCGTTGCTCCACCCAATTTGTCTCTTATGTGCTGTCCAATAAGTAAAGCCATTAGACGCACCTTATCTATACCTCTGGAAGTATTTGTTACCTTTTCGTCTATAAAAAAATTATAAGAAATCTTAAAAATTAATTCCGCAATCAATTAATAATATCTTGAGCTACCGTCATCGTCTAATCTTCTTTATTTCATAAATTAGACTTTATAATAGATCAAATGGATCTATTGTAATATCTTCTCGGAAGAAATAACTCAATGCTAACAACTTTCTTTTTATAGATGATTATTATTAAAGGTGTCATTCGCGGGAGCGATACTGTTACATCACAAGATTAGAGAATTTGTCAGTTTTTGGAAAGTATAGAAAATAAATTAATGTTTGTGTTATTCACTAGTTTTACTTCAAATGTATCTCAACTGCACAAAAGACTCAAATTATGTATTGCAATCAATGAGAACAATTAACGCTGCTTTAATCGCCGCTTTAATTCTATCACGTTTCACTTTGCCATTTTCTTTTCAGTCTCACTTTTCTCTCTCACATGTTACGCCATAAGGACTGCCGTCGGATCACAGAATTATAAAACGAAGTTTGATTGACATCGCCCATGGTGAAATAATATCGTCACGCAACGACATGTTTTACCCTCTTTCTACCGTATACTCCATTCGCGTTCGCGTCTTCATGCGATAAAAGCGTAACCGGCGCACCTCTCGGCGATGTCGTCCCTATGTAATTGGCCCGTAATTAAGGTGGGCGCGCCTCTTTTTGCTGAATCCTCTCATGACCAAAAACATACTCGCTCTCGTTCCCAGAATTGCTTAATGGCAAGTCATTTCGGCAACTTTCAATTGCTATTCCGTCCTGAATTCCGTACTTAATTGCGTCTCCCGTTACACGCACTCGTCAAACAACTAATGAAATTGTTTTGTTAACAATCGGATGACCGTGAAATGTAACCATTATCGGTATTAATTCTTATTATAATTGCTAGTCACATAAAGTTCAGAATACTTCAGGTTAAATAACTTCGAGTAACTTCAAGTTCGTACGACGGCCACGATGGCTTGAGGAACATGTCATGTGGAACACAGAGAAAACCGGTTTATGAAAACAGTTTCAGGTCTGAAAGGGTCAATGCAATCTTAAAGCGAAGGGCATAGCAGACCATCAGCATAGCGTTTCTCGATGAAACGAAAGTGCTTGACTGAGATAGCGTTTTCTCGTTGACGTCAAAGAATTTGCCAGCATAGAGAAAAACTATTGTTAGCCGATTATCATATTCTTATTTTCTTTGTTTCAGGGTGAAAGGCCATCCAGGCAGCTTGCGGCATGACGAAATACTGGTTGAACGTAGCCCTTCTCAGGGTTGTTCTACCAGTTATCTTAGCCGGATGTAAGTATTGCACGACTCTTCTCTGTTCTATTCCTTTCCTTTGCTTATATCTTATAATCAGTAAATGATTCGCGCGTATTATGATCGTGGAATGATAAGAGCAGGTAGAGATAAGTAAAATATTTTTATACATGAAATTTGCACTATCTTATATTATCTTTGGTGTTTGTATTGGTTAGATAAACACAGTTTGACGTGTTTATTAACACGTGACATATTTTCCGTAAAAATTATTGCAATTTTCTAACAAAAAATCATTAAAAAGGAAATGACAGAAGAAATAAAACAATTTTATACAGTTCTCATTCCATATATTTTTCTGTCATATTTTTATTTGGCTTATTTTTTCTACTTTCTAAAGAATTTAAAAATATTTCTATTTTAAAATCAAACTCGTTTACTTACTGCCACGATATTAATGTTTATTAAAGATGCACCCGCTATGAAACATGAAATGTGCATACACTTGAAACTAAATACGAGTAACCATGTAAAAGATCAGTTGTTTGTAACACGGAAATATTCCCTGGAAACTTTGACATTAAAATACTTAATGAGATAATAAATGCGTCGATGATATCATATCTGGAATCGTCATCATTTTTAATCGAGCAATAAACTTAGTTTGTTGATCGCCAGTTGTGCAGAATAAAATCGCGAAATGCCGATTTATCACCGTTCGTAACAGAAATAAGCGAGGGTCGCGTATCGCGAGGAATCTTAGGTTGACTGCCTACACTTTGCATAACTATATTCAGTATTATGTAAATTGATACCAAAGGAAATAACCACGTCTGACAATTACGTATTTACTACTTATATGTTGCGTATCATTTTACCTTTTGTCTTTTTTACATTTTAAATAGCCATCAGTTATTAATAAACATATAATTAGACATTAGTCTGTCTTTATTTTAAAACTTATTTTAAAATATTTTTTGTTATTGTAACAAATTAAATATAGCCAGTTATGTCGAAACAATGGATTGATTATTGATTTAATTACTGGTGAACAAAAACATTACCAACAACATTAAAATATTTTGATTAATTTTTTATATACTTACGTTATTAAATAAAAAATATGTATCCATAAAACAAATCCAAAACAAAAATATAATACGTTAATAAATTTAATCGAGTAGATTATTTTATTTATAAATTGATCCATCTGTTATCAAGGAGGAGTAATGCCGTCATTGCGCGTTATCAACTCACCACATGTTAGATCACTCGCAATACATCGCCATTATTACTTCGCTTTATACTCCATAGTGTTTGAAAATATACATTTTTCTAAATACTTCAGATAATTCAATGTAATTCATATATTTGCATTTCTGTAATACATAGTTGCAACAATTAAAGAATTTAAATAAATATGCAATATAAAATCGGTGAAAAGACAAATAAATAGAACATAAATATGTTTTCGTAAAATCTACGCGACATACGGATACGTATTTAAGGGGCTCGAAGAGTATTCTAAAATTAGAAGACAGGCGCTTGAACTCGTACATCCGTATCAGTCGAGGGCAAGATTGGCTTTGTCTAAACAAGCACCCTTTAACATATCAAATCACATAAGCATATATACAAAATGAGTTCTAAGAGTTTTATTATCAAAAGGGTATTTATACTCCAACTGAGCTTATTAAGAGCTTATTAAGAGCTTATTAAGAATTATAAATTAAGTTTTATTATGGGCTTGTTTTCTGTTCCTGCACTGGTGAACTAGTGCAATAAATTGGAGTAAGACAAGTATATTTTTTCTCATTCTAGCTTACTGCACTAGTTCACCAGTGCAGGAACAGAAAACAAGCCCGATGTTATAGAAGGAGAAACAGAATATGTTACATTAATACGTGTACAAAAGTATTCATTTAAAAGACGTAATTGTCGAAAGAATTATCGGAATCGCGTACGTTTGTGATACACTTCACTTGGCAGCGACACAATGTCGTTATTTATGTGTGTCGTGCAAATATAACATGTGCCACGAATAGGATGACTAAGCTGCTAGAGGTGACGACTGAAAATAATACCGTATTTCCCCTGAACATTTTGAAAGTTCAAATAACGAAATTTTACCATGTGACAAATTTCAATTAGCGAATAAACAATTAGTGTGCGAAACGTTTGTAACGTTCTATGACGTAAAATATTATTATCGTCGACAGACTAACTTCCTATAATTCGCGTTAATTATCAATACATATGTGTGTACCCCAGCTATATACCTGGTGGTTTATTTAATAGCATAATATCTGAAAGCTTTCCTGATATATATTTATCGTATATCCTGATATGTATATTTTTTATTGTATACCCATTTACCAAGTTAAATATGTTTACGAAAATTCCAGAAGGAAATGTTATAATATTTAATTTTACATGAAATCTTTTAAATTGAAAAATCTGTAGGATATTACGATTTAAAATAAATGTGGATCAATAATAAAAAGCGAAGGCCCCGACGGAATACTTGGAGGGGTTGAAATGTCATTTCCTAGGAGCATCCTATCATAAATGACCTTTCCACAAACGTAAAAATAATAACTATTGTCGCAGTTTTACGTGCTGTTGTACGTCTTAGGGAAGGTCTCCTAAATGGAGCTTTTAAAACAAAAGTGGAGTAAACTGTTTTATAAGTGAATTAAGTAATTGGGATCGCGTAATACACAGAAGCTGTATAAGTATTTCCAATAATCTCTAAATATTCTAATTTAATAAAAATGTTACAATCAATTTTCTAAATACTGTATTTCAATAAAAATGTTATCAATTTTTTTACATTAAAAACATAGCCGGTACATTTAATGTCTATCGGATTCTATACTTTTCATATTTGATATGTAAATCTTTTTCTGAAAATGTCTCTATCAAAATTTCCTGAATGTTTTGTGCCAAAACTACTAATCATATTGAGATACTGAAAACAATGTACATCATTGAGATGGGTTTTAATTTCTAGGCACGATATGGCGCCCAACGGGATTGTCGATCGTCTATCTGGGACTGATGCTTTACTCTCCGATGGTCCCAATACCGCACAAAACCATGACAGGCCACACGGGAATATACCTGAAGATTTGCATTTGCTTAGCCTTTCTTGTAGTCATATCTCAGATCACCTTTCACATTGTTCTTTTGTCACTACCACCTTACGGATACTTTCTACAAAACTGTAAGCAACACTCTGACCTAAATATTATATTATCTTTAAAGTTTTTAAAAAATTTGCATCGATTGTTTTCATAAATACCATGTATACTTACATACATAATATTTGTGAACATCATATAATAACATTTGATTAAGTATTATACAGAGAGAGAGAGAGAGAGAGAGAGTGTGTGTGTGTGTGTGTATGCGTTGAATAAAATTAAAAAAAATTTTTAAACCATAGATTAAATTATTAATCGGAAATTATTGGAATCTTAAATACAAGCAAATGATATATTTTTAGGCGAATTTATAGAGAAGCTCATCAGACACATAGGCTTTGTCAGATTAGATAGCGCATCTGTGTGGGAAGTATTTTATTGGCTGTCGCCAGAATTCATAGTCTTACCCACGGTACTCGTCATATATTTCATATCTCGTTTCCTTACACAAAGGCGTGTTAACGATGAGGAGGATGCAACTGCTCTTCACCAGGAAAATAATTCTCAGCAACAAAAAACGGACGACAATACCACGAAGGTAATCATAGTTTCGTACTGCTACTTAGCGCAAAATCAACGAAGTACGTTTGCAACAATTAATTTAAATATGCATGCAAAATATATCACCTATGTTTTCCAAAGTATTCCATCCAAATCGATCTGAGTCGACTCCGGTTTAATTACACATCTGAACTGTATTTTACATTAAAAGATAGATATCTGACCAAAAATGATTCACGCCCACGCGCATCTACGATTCAGATAATTAATTTCCTGGGAAGTATCGGTACCTACGTGGTCTTGGCGTCACTATGCTGTGTCGCGGCCTTGAAGCCATCGATAGAGGCGGCTTTCTACTTCCTGGTGTTTCTTGGCGCCGCTACGTGCTGGGCATGCAACAAAGAACTGCGGAAAGGATTTGCCGTGATCTGCAGGATCATCATGGTCATCGTGATCGTTCACATCGTAGTGTTGCTCGCTTACCAGAACGAATGGCCGCAGGAAATCATTCCAGTATCTGGCACCTGGTCGCGTTATTTCGCCCTGACTGCGGTTTATCACACCAACTGCAGCGATCCAAGAAACGTGGAGTACACAGATGATGCAGATTGGTTGATTTACGGATATGCTTTAAGATTGTTCTGGCTGTACTACATCCTCGCATTGCAGTCGCAATTTCTCTGTAGAAAACCGGTGAGTTTACATATTTTTTTATTCAATGTGAATAACGTTAGTCTAAAAACTTAGAGAATGTAAATTAATATAATTGATCATTAAGGAAAATAGAATAGTATGTGTAAGAAAATTTTTAGGTAATATTAGAGATCAGTATTCGCAGTATAAATTTCATTATCTATAGCATTTTTAGTGCCAAATCTCTAATCACGTTATTTTAATTACTATGTTATTAACGTAATTGTATTATTCTATATTGAAAATTGGATAAATAATTTACGTAGAGGAGAGCATTTTATATTGCGTGAAGTAAAAATTTAATATTATAATGAATAAGATTAAAGTACATTAGAAAATAGCGGTGAGATTTAATGTCTCTCTATGTAGTCCATACATTTTATATCAAATTTTAGAAGTACAATAGTATAATGAACGCCACTTTTCTATATCAAAGCTTCTTTTATAACTCGGAGGCCTTTATTATCCTAAGCTATATATGCTAGCTGCCTATTGCATAGAGCGCAATTAACCGATTTGTGGGTAAGGAATAATTTTAATATTGCAAATAACAGCTGATCGCCTAACAGAAACTTGAAACTAACTCAACCGTATCTGAAATTGCTAATACATTAAGCTTATTAAATAAACCAATGAAAAATAGAATCGCCAATCATTAAATTAGTCATACTTTCTTGATAAAATCATAAAGATTATATCTTTGCAATGGTATCTGTTTGACTGATAACAATGTATTACGTTTTATCTCTGTGTTCTAAAATTATCTTTTTACAATTAAGTGTAAAAATAATAAAAGCATTGTTTAGGTTTTGCTATTTAAGAAAATTACGATCTCTTGGATATCTGGAAAATTTTACAAGTTTTTTTATTTTAACTTTCATATCAACTTTGGCGATTCTGTCGACTTAAGTCGTGGACAATTTTGTTGAAAATATCTTGCTTGTACTAACGAGGCGTTACAGGCGAAGGAAGCGAAACGATTAAGCGGCAGACTGGAGACTTTGGACACTCCATTGTCCAGACACGTGTCTATCAGGCGCAGGACACCTTCCCAAAGATGGCAATCAGCGCGACGTAAGGCTCGCGTAAGGACTCGTTCCATATGAGAGCCGATTCGATATATGATTGATATTTCCATATATATTTGTAATTTCGCAACTTCGCCTTTATCCTTAGCTACATTTTATTTCAGATTCTTGTTTTGCTGACATGTACCGTATTGGATGCCAAACATTTATATAAACTGTGTTATTTTAAGTTTATTTTTTAACTGTTAAGCTTATTCATATGTTATGCCTATTCGTAGTTAGCATTTCTGTAAAAGCCTCATTAATTTCTTAAAACTTTTCCAACTGTTGAATTTTTAAATACACCTCATGCACTTTTAAAATGTATCTTAATCGCATTTATCTTATACAGTACAACTATATTATTGTTATATTAACATTTTCAGTGAAAATTTGAAATTATTATTAAAGTCTTCAAAATGCTCACTGAATTTTCCAAATTCCTAATTTCTGATAAATTTTTAATTTATTTAACTGTTTAATATTTCATTGTTTTAATATTTTATATGTAATTATTTATTGTAGTATTATATGCATACACATATACATATATACATTTCCCGTAATTTTCTCTCTTAAATTTATTCCCATTAATTAAGTCTGTAGTAAAAATTATTTATATATATTATAATTAATATTGTTGGTCACAAATATTAGTCGTGCAGCTTTATTAATCAGTATAATCTCTGCCTAACGAGTTCTCCTCGAGAGGCTTTTGTAAAAAAAACCTGTTTCGCCCACTTTTAAATACTTTCCATGTTCTTATTTGCTGTCGCCTTGCAGATGTGCAGTTGTTGTTTAACGCTGAACAATACCGTTTTCCGTTTGGATGCTGCTATGTTTAGTTTGCCATTGTTTTAGAAGCCGATCGTAGATTCGTCGTTAGCAACGATCGACGAACGGACACCTGTACGTATATCAATTGAATATGCATGATTAATGTATTATATATAGATATACTAATAATATACTTTACACGTCTGCACGCGACATAATATAAATTTTGCTAAGCGGCTCGAAATTCTGTTCGAACAAATTATTGTCGTTTGGCGTGCAGTTGTAATTAACATCACATATAATTTTCACACATGCAATCACTTATTAACAGTTTCTAGCTAACATTATTAAAATTATGGTGGAGGTAACGCACGTTTAATACATTTTGCATGAAGTGTGCCGTAGTCATAGGAAAATAGGACAATATTAATTTAGCATGACGAAACATAGTAATAAAAGTGAGAAACATAGTAAGAAAAAGTGTATAAAATGAAATAGCATTATTAAATTACTGTTGAAGGTATTTAAAGAGTAAATTGTTTTACTGTGTAGTTGATGCGATTTGGATCTGGAAGAACGGGTCTTCTTCAGGATTCCGCTACCGGAAGTATCATCGTCAATCAGGATGGCCAACCGGACGATAACATACAAATGCAGAGTCTCAGCGAAGGTAATGGCGTAAATGTTAAAACGTGTAGTAAACTGTCTTATCTAGAGCAACTGGACAAACCAGTTAATTAATGATTTATGAATTAGGAACTCCTGACGAAACCCCGGGCATCGTTGAACAAATAGTTATGGCCGTTTACTCCATTTTCCAGTTAATAGTGAACTCATCGTATCTTGCTACAAATATAATAATGATGGTAAGTGTCGTAGAACAAAAATTACAAACAATCAAGCCGATTATCTCGTAAAATTACTTTTCAGACGTGGAGCATAATGTATCACAGTTGGACAACATTCGTCCTGCTTCTGTGGGCGTTAATTCTATGGATGGTTCCCAACAAACGTGCTTCCATGATGAAGTGCTCTCCCTTCATCGTGTTCTATGCGACGCTCTTGCTTCTCGGACAATACGTATACAGCATGGATCTGAACGATGAAGAGTTGCCGAGGGTAATAAGCGGCATAAAGATATCTGAAATCGGTTTCAGCAAAGCCGACGAGCTCGGCCGCTGGCATCTTATAGTTAAGGTACATATTAACATCTCCTGCAAGCAAGAAACTGTAAATTCGTTCAAAAGTATATTGATACATTCACAAACTGTACTATACATTGAAGTAATATTTAATGAGTGACTTATTCATTTACAGTGCTTATTTATATCAATGTTCTGGATCACTATGAGGCAATACATGACGGAACGAAAGCAACAGCGGCGATCTTCCGCTCTGCGGGACATGGTAGCGCCGTTACACGTGTCTGTCTCGACGGCTACGACCGCCATGAATCACGAGGCACCGGAAATCAAGAGCAAATTTATGCAAGACGTCGGGAAACTGTTGCATGACCTGTTGACGAGATTCTGGATTGCCGTGGTAGCAATCATGCTGTTCATCTGCGGCATCACGGGCGAACGCATGACTATGTTCAGAATCGTTTATATGTCGCTATTCCTCATCTTCGTCATTACATTCCAGGTGTTGTATTTGAGTTCTAGGCGTGCCTTCGCGAAACTTATTAATAGGACTTATTAATAGAAGCTTGCTAATGCAGCCTAAATGCAAACCGCAAAATTTCAGATATCCTGGACAGCATGGAGAAGAATGATGTATATATTTTGGATAACTGTCATTGGATATTCGATCATCATGCTGATCCTCGTCTATACCTACCAGTTTCAGAATTTCCCGAAATATTGGGAGTACATCGGTGTAGATCAAGATTTGTGAGTACTAACTATGTAATTATTATTTAATGGACATTCAGATGTTCCAGCAAACGCACCTACTTCTCTCATTTCAGACAAATGGATATTGGATTGGAGACTTACGAGATCAAAGACCTGTTTGTGAGATTGTTGACACCAACATGCTTCGTTATCATCACAGTACTTCAGATTCATTATTTCCACAAGGATTTTCTTGCAGTCACCAATATTGATAGATTAGGGTTTGTGAAAAATTTAATTATACAATATGCCTCCCATAAATATCGCGTTAATGCTTAGGGGCTTCAAATTCCTGAGATTATTTGAAGACAAAAATCTGAATACCAAAATGTTGGGCTGTAATAGTTTTGAAATTAGATGTACCTATCTAGAGAATTTGCTCGCCTGTATTTGTAGCCTCGATATTTAGTATTAAATTTTTTTCTTAAAATGATGTCAGGAATTTACCTTCCAGGAATATTATCACATTAACTACATGAAAAAATCTCTCTTTATTAATTTTAGACCCGATAACTTATATAATCGCGCCAGCCTAGGATATTCTCCTAGCTTAAATATTCCAGTATCTTCGCCAGCCGATGTTACTCTCACCGAGGACGAGAAACACACGATGTATACATTGAAACAATTGAAACGTATGCTCTTAATTTAATTTATTTACTGTTGCAACGAGCGCACTGTTATTATTTCACAAAATAACGAAATATTTTTAATAACAAGTGCTCTCTCTCGGAATTAATTGCAGATATGTCAAAATTAGAAAGAATTGCGCTGTTACGGAAAGTGACAAAGCATGTTGTTAATTTTTACAATTATATTTGGCTCTTTCTTGAAATACACATGCAGAAAATTGTATTTATATCATTCGTTCTTCTGTGCATCAACGACGTAAGTAAAATTATTAGAATCCACTTCACGAATACTTTTAAGATTAAGTCAATTAAATACAATTAAATATGTATTTGTTTTAGGTGTGCGCAATAAATTTCCTTTTCATCGTCGCCGTAGTCATAATGATTAACTTTGAAAGAAATATACAGATAAAATCGATTAACGCGATGGCCGCGGTAGTGTCGCTTCTAATGGTCGCCAAGATGTTGTATCAAATTAAATACATTAATCATGACAACTACAACGTCAATTGCACTGTAAATTAAAACCTGTATACCTTATTCCGATAAAAAGCGCTTTCTCGTAGTTCGATTACATATGTTATTTAAAATAATTTTAGATCATTGAGGATCATCAGCAGTACGCAAGTAACAACACTGTCTACAATATAGCCGAATGGTTTGGAATGCGAAAGGCAGGCCCGGGTATGCTTCCAGACCTGCTGAAAGGCTACATTGGCATCGTTACTGTGACGACTGCCAGAAAAATCATCAGAATCCGTCAATGGTTCTATCGTCACCATAAAGGAGAATCATTGAACACTCCTCAAATAATGTTCCCAACCATCACCAGAATGGATGCTGATAAGGGAATACCGGAGTGTTTACAGTTCCTCTTCAACTACGGTTTCTATAAATTCGGCCTGGAAATGTGCTTCATTGGAATCGTCACTCTAATCGGCACGCGATTAGACTTTTACTCCGTTTTGTACAGCATATGGCTGCTATTATTTTTCTCGTTAAAAAGAAAAACTGTGGCACGAATTTGGCCGTGTTTCCGAGTTTTCGCCATAGTTCTTCTACCGATCCAGTATGCTATTGTTGTGGCCCCACCTTCGTGGCTCTGTATAGGTAATGTGACACATTAGAGGAATGAGTCCCTTGATTAAGAGAAGCAAATGATAAATGACTGTTCCCGATTTACTTTAGATTATCCCTGGAACAAATCTGAAGTAATGAGAAGGTTGCAGGAATGGATGTATCTTCCCGATCCGGATTTTCCACCTAATTCTAGAAAGCTGATTTGTAAGTACAACAAAACCTAAAATTAAGAGAAAAATTCTGCGACATTTTTGCATAATATATTTTCCATTTCGTACCCAGGTGACTTTATCTTACTAATGATGATCGTGCGACAAAGTCTAGTCTTTTACATTGAACAACAACATTTGCAATCTGGCAATGAGTTTGTGGCTGGCCACAACTATTCCGTTTTCCAAGATATGGAAAAACCGAATTTTGTGAATCCTGTCAAGGATTACGTGTCGCACATTCACTCATGGTTGGATGTAGTTAAACGTGCCAGCATGATGAGTCTCATGTGGGTGACTTTGTCGATCATGTTCCTGGCTGGAACGAAAAGAACGAACCTCTTTTCGCTCGGTTATCTGATAGGAGCATTTATATTCCTCTGGCAAGGAAGCGACTTTTACTTGAGACCAATGAGGACTATTTTAAAATCGTGGAACATGTTGATTGGGTACAGCGTTGTTGTAATTTTTTCAAAAGCTCTTCTTCAAGGTGTGGGTTGTGTCCTCATTAAAGACGTAAGTTTTTCTCAATAGTGTAAAATTTTTACGAAATTAATATTTCTTTAAATTAAACCAAGAATTTTAACTTCAACCTAGGATTTTACTCGAAATAATTGCATGAAAATGTGACTTAGAAGATGAAAACTAAATGAACACGGAACACATTGTAATGTATAAAAAAATTAAGACTGTAAAAATTATTAATTTGTTGTAAATTTAGCTCGAACATTCAGTCTGCTGGCTGGTGCAATTACTGGGTATCGCGTGCCTGAAAAAGTTCAAGAGTTCCAGCGAGATAATGTTGGACCCTGCCAAGTGTAATGTCACCAGCGAAGACATCGGCATGGTCTGGGACGGATTATGTTTCGCCTTCCTCTTGATACAGAAACGACTTTTCAAGAGCTACTACTTCTTCCATATAGTGGACGAAACGAAAGCCATGAGCATTCTAGCGTCCCGTGGCGCGGAGCTGCTCGAAGAACTGCATCAGAAACGTATAGAAATCCAAGAGAATGTGGAGAAAACCGTTTTAGAAAAGTTGAAGTATAAGATGGACAAGATCAAAGCTAATCAAGAGAAAATACAGGGACCATCTTACAGAGAACCCCAGACTCACAAAATCGGTAAGACCTTTTTTTCAATATATACGCCATAAATCTTATATAACATTTAAAAGAAAATGTTTTATCGAAGCGATCCTGAAGACAACTTGAATTTTGTCATTTAACAAACGATCGTAAGGTTTTATCTAACAATCAGCTGAGTCTTCAGTTAGCCACCAACTGAATGTTACTTTCTTTGAAAAATCTCCGAGTTGCATTTTAGTAGATTACTAAACACTTTTACGAACTACATCTCGATGATTTTCGACGTCTCTGTCATTGCGTTGTCCCACTGTCCCTTATTACGTACAATATAACACCCAATGTATCTTTAATGCGTCAAAAAGAGAGACAAGCGCCGCTGGCAAGAGCCTCCAGCGTGAGTTCTTGCGTGTCCTCGGGTCACACACCCCCGCAAGGATATCAAACGCCTCTGGATGAGGACGACGACGAGCCACCCCCGCTGACGCCACGGGCGGCGTCCTTATTGCAGGCACCCACGCCGAATTCTGCCGTCATGACGGTCAGCCTCGAGGGCTACCTCGAGCCGACACGTATTTCGTTCGGTTCGCCGCCCAGTAGCGAGCTGAATCCTCGAGGACCGTCGCCGGACGAGACATTCCCGGTGTTCTCGCCTCCACCTTACGATCGCGGCCCAACCGATCGATCGCTAACGTTTTCCATGCGGCATCGGCGTCAATCCAGCTTGCCAGTCGGGCCGACGTGGATGAGCAGTGACCCGCGCCAGTCGATCATCTCGACGGCTTCCCGTTCCCCGCACTCGCATCACACGTGTAAATCACTCATCGACAACAATGTCCACGTCGCCAGTGTGCTACAGTTACCTGTATATACGCTTCTCTACGCCTGCACATCTAGATTTCTCGCGAAACACTTTACGGTGTCCGATGTCCGTCTCGTCCTGTTAGAAACGATTTCTAATAATATATTGAGCTAAGAATTAGCTCAAGACACATCCCTGTACATAAACGCTTATAGGTTCACTCATTTATACATATTTCTATGAAGATCGATACAAATGATACTTCATACGTTTCTGTTTTTACATCTATTTTTACACTGTCTCTCTCCTCTTCCTGTAATATTTTCTTCGCCCTTTACTTCCTTCATTATGATTAATCGCCATATTTGCTTCATCAGTTTATAATTCTTACATTTTTTATTTTACCATATGCACAAGAAGTCAGAAATTTCTTCTGTAAACAACGAAAAACCGTCTCGTATTTATTGATAAATTATAATTTCTTATTAAACAGCAACGGAATCGAAGGATCCAATATGAAGTAATTGATGTAACATACATTAACATGTGTACTGTAATATATCATTGCGTTCTGTATAAATGGCTTTTGCATTTTCTATATCTTTGTTTTACTTTTGTGTCTTTCTATTAGATGAACTATATCCAGGAACACGGCCATTGTACAAAATTCGTCCACCGAAGACCAACAGAGAGGGTAAATGTACATTTTTTACAGTTGAGGGAACATTATCCTAACAGCCAATGTTCTCGCCCCAGATCCGTTTCACAATTTCATTTGTATATAAAATGTACAGTGTAATGTACAGTTCAAAGTAGTTGATGTGTTAATGAATTATATAGTTGACCTACTGATTATTTTCATGTATATTTGTGCATTTTTGTTTAATAGATATCATGATTATATCTTGACATAATCATGAAAAATTATTATACTATATAATATTCACGAATTTTGCTCAAACGTCCTTGCACCCTTTTCTAATTATATTGTCGTCACTTGCATGGCTTTTGCTTACATAAGAAAAGTAACAATTTGTCACTAACCGATCATTCTTTTTACAATTAGCGATCAGATCCGGCGATTACTACATGTTTGATGATCTGGATGACGACGACGTCACTGATCTCATTTGCGACAGCGATATTGAAAAGAAGGAAAAGGAACTCCGCCGCGAGCAAGAACGGCAAGGAAGAAGAATGACTGTTTCGGAAGTAAGTTGAAAGAGACGTATGTATCATACGTCAAAACCGTCTTGTTTTCTCAAGGATTTCGGTAACTTGAGTGATGCTGTGAAAGTTTAATCTGAACAAGGATTTCTCTCATTAAGATTCATTAATCCCTTAATTAAGCTGTTATGGTCGGTCGAAGTATTGTTTGGAAATATTTCGAATAAAATCATCAAAGTTAACTTTCAATAATTTATATTTACGTAAAAAACGTTGTATTTGTAAAACAATTATATCCACAGGTATACACTGCGATTTAATGTTGATTAAGTAATAAGTCTACTAAAAGATATCTTGAAATTTTCCCGAAGAGTACTTCGAGTGGACCACTGTAAAATCGAATGGCGCATCTCTTCGTGTGATGATTGCAACCAAAATTTCTTCTCGTCATGTGTCACCATGATATCTTTCTTTCGCACTAAGCCTACGCATTGTCAGGCCTCTTTTATCTCTATCTCTCTCCTCTTCGGGGAGGGACCACGCAATACGCCCGGGCCGACAACGATGGCGAGAAAACATTCGGCAGAATTGACGCGTAAGTCTCCTTACAGCTGATGAACACGCTGATTAAGACAGACATTGAGATCGCGACGCATGTCGCCATGTACGGAGGAACCGAAAAGGATGCCCTGAGACTCCGACGTAGAAGTGTACCCCTGACACGGAAGAAATCGTCCATGTCCTATCTGAGCGCTCGCTCCGAGACCGACACTGCCATGGCCACCGATGTGAGACACCCCGATTCCCTTTTAAAGGCTGCATGACCGCTGCAGATATCTCGTCTGCCTATAATTGTCACCTTCTAGCCTTGTATATAATACTGTCTTTAAAGCCGAATTGCTGAACGGAAGGCAGATCTCACCGTTGGTGCAATATGCGACTCTCTCTCTCTCTCTCTCTCTCTCTCTCTCTCTCTTGTGGGAAATCTAATTCTGTGTCCTAAAGAAAAACACATGCAACATAACATGAAGTCACTAGTTAGTTTCAAAATTTTTATTTTACTTCCACCTCGACAAACACTGAAGTATTTCTTTTTTTTTTAAATCCCTGTTTGAGAAAAATCAACTGCAGATTGCCTCCTAAATAAAATTCGGTTAACGGCTATTGCTTTCTATGGACCGTTTTGTATCACTTCCGTACTTGTAAATTCTTCTTATATCACGTGTGCATTTCTTTCGTTTTTTTGTTCGTGCGCGATAAAGCAATCTGTTTACTTTATGTGCATTTTACAATCAATTTTATTCTACTATCAGTTTTATCTTCCGCAAATTATTATTAACTGGCTGTGATTTAATTATTTTGGTTTTAACAATAACTGTAATTATTTCTATTACTTTTCTTAACATCTCTTTCCAGATCTTTTCACTGTAGTTGATAAAATATTCTTAATTCAGTTTAATATGTATTTTAACAAAAACTTTCTGCTATATTTTTTATTATATATTGTTTCTAAATTACATATAAGTTAACACAGTAACACGTAACACATAAAACAGTTACAGCAGCGAGTTCCATAACAGCGGCAAGTGATTGTTCTTTTACTTTCGTACAACGCTTTTAGTGCTCGATGACATCTTCGTCTCTCATAAACTCTCGGCTTCGTAGAAGCAGTATTGGAAACAAAATCCTTCCTGCCGTATTTGGCTCGTTCTCGCCAACGTCGCGTAACTTCGATCTTAGTTTAATTCCATTCTTTGTCTCCTCCTAAGAAGACAGTTAAAAAGGGACAAAGTGTGATTTAAATTTATGATCAAAGTTAAACGACGTGAAGACCGGAATAAATGGTCTTCGTATTGTTTAACATTATACTTTTTTTAATTAGTTTATGTATTGTGATCACAGAACAATGGTATTTTACTGATATATATTTCATATGAAAACTTATTTCATATTCACAGATTGAAAGGAATAAAGTAATAAGAGCCAAGACAGTTAAATGTCTAATTAATTTTAATTTCAAAATTATTTAGATGTTTGACATCTCTTATCCTTTTGTTCCTTCGAATCTGTGATTTCACATCAGAGTCTCATGAATTTATTAATTGTTATTTCACCGTTTTTACTTATAATATGTGTAATTACATGCTTATTGTACGCTTATTGTACAGTAATAATAGATAGATAACGAATATTGAGTAATCGAAGTTGAAAACATAAATCTTTAGTCATAGTAAGAACCTGTCGATATTACGAATAATTATTTAAATTTGACATAGTAAAATTTTGCAATTTGAGTGTGTACATTTTTTGTTAACAGTTCAAATCTTAACAGTGGTTAAAAATTGCTTTTCGTTCGAGAATTTTATAGAAACACGAGTTAATTATTCAATGCGCTGTACAATACACTTTGCACCTATGCATTTTCCTCAGCAGGTTTAATTGATTTCAAGCACATAATCACGGTATAAATATCAAACAGTACCTTTCGACGTATAAAGCTTATTGTACAATTAATCAGGGCCCCGATCGTACGAGTCTCACGTCGGTAGAAATGGAAACGGAGGAGAAAGATGCTACAGACTTGGCAAAAACACCAGAGCTATCGGACGCGGAAGAAGAGAAAGATAAGACGAGCGACAAGCAGGAAGAAGAAAAGAAGAAAGTCTCGCTCTTCACGTACTTCAAGTTCGTCTTGGTGATGATTAATAGCACTCTAATTTCGATGACAAAATACCTCAATCGATTCTCCCACGACTACAGATATATCCGCAAGGTTTTAGCGAAAGAAAAAAAGATCCTGAAGGTACAATGCTTTCGTTATTTTGAAGATCTAAAATAAATTTGCGCGAATAAAGTACAACGCGATAATATTTTTCGCTGATGTGACAATTATTACATTTAGGCAAAACCGGATTTTAAAATGGGAATGCGATTAGGAATTAACCAAATGTGGCAGCCGATACCTCTCATGCAGGAGCGGTAAGTTTGCTTTCACATAAACTCTTATACAATCATAGGACTAAAATGTATTAACGTTTGTTTAACGGAATTGAGGGACTGTATATTCTATTATTAATTTCACGAAAAAAATTGATTAGCTCTTTGCTGTTTCTTTTTAGGGAGGTTTATATTGTTTATTGTTCGGTTATAAAGTTCTGCTTTTATAGCGAATATTAATTTTTTGTGCTTTCCAAGGCGTTAATTTGTACATACGTAGTTGCATAAAACTATTTATGTTTTGTGCTGCTGCTATTTATGTGTATACATTTGTTCAAACAGATATGTACAATTAGTTTACTTTTACAAAACGTCAATTTCTTGTAAATATATTATGTAATATTTTAATTTTATTCTTTTATATTTTTTCAATACTTTACCGCATAAAAGTAACATATTCATAAATCATGTAACTCAGCCCTCTCTTTTTTTTATAGCATATACATATAATATACATTTTATTTCTTTTTCTGGCTGTGTAACAGTCGTTGTAAAACCGTTTATTTATATTTTGCAGTAAAGAATTAATTTCTTGCTATTTAATGTTGTAAAGCGCATTTCAAAATTAGCGTCAGAAGCACTTATCTATAACTTGTGCTTCTTTAATATCCTGTTAGAGAATAAATCTTAAAGAAATCACACCTTTTAAAAAAGGTGTGTAAGTATAACATATGGTTTTAGTAATTTTCAAATTAAAGTGAAACGTAGATGCTAGTAGTAAATGTGCTCGCTGTAACAGATCAGCTACAAACGGCAATAACGAAGAACAGTATGATCCTGGAGAAGGTCCTAGCCAACCACTCCAGCAAGATGAGAGGTAAGGGCTTTTCTTTTATGTGACATGCTTTAATAAATGTATTATGTATTTAGTTTATGTGTGTGTGTGTGTGTATATGCGTGAGCTAAAATTATTCTTGTGCATTTGTATGCCAAGCTAATACTAAATCGAATGTTATCTTCGCCTTTATAATTATTATTTACATTCTAATTAATTTTGTGGAAAGGACAAGTTAACTTTTATCACTTTTAGTTGTTTGCGCCTGGCATAGCAACAATAAATAATTGTTAATAAAATCATCGTATTTGCTTTTTAAGTTTTATCTAGAATATTTTTTATCATTTATATAATAGAAACGTTTAGTAATTTATTTTTTATTTAATTAAACGAAACGAAACATTCAAATTGTACGGCATAACTTGTGAAAATAGAATTTAATTTTATATTTTAACTTTTAGTAATTTTTAAATTGCAAACTTGTTGTTTTTAATGAGAATAATTTTAAATTTCTTCAAAAAACCGAAATTAAAATTTGAAGAATTCTTAAAAGATAAAGGAACAATACAGTTTCAAATTCACAATTACTGCTAAATTTGTGATGTAATATCTGGATGTGAATATCTCTTTTAATATTTGTTTTTATATATTTTATTTTAATATATTTTCTGCTCTCTCAAAATTGGTATCAATATCTTTTTCTTCTCTGTGATGGACAGAATTAATAATGTATTATGATCTTGATTGAATTTCTTCACTCTCGTAACATACTTGTACGAAGTAAACGTAGAAAGAGCGTGGTGTTGTTTGTGTCAGGAAGGGAAGCTCGCTGGCAGTGCCGCACATCCGAATTCTGGCGCCGAGTTTGGAGCGAGGATTGGACATGTCCTCCTCCAGGTATCGAAAATGTGTCGTAAAAAACCCAGGCATTTCAATGTATCCGGCCTTTTTACTATTTCGTAAATGCACCATTCGCACGCCTCTCCTCGCATGCGGCACGTCAGTTAGGATCCTTTTCCATTTACTTGTCTGCCACTTCCATTTTGCGTATTACGTTTCGTGGCAAAAAAAGGATCACTTCCTGACACGACGAAAGCAATGACCAAGGAAAATGGCTTGCAATGAGTAACCTGCGTGTCTCTTTGATTATTGTGTATGGTACGGTGCATTAATTCGGTCCGGGTAATAATTAGGGATGGACAAAACTTACTTGATTATTTAAACATATATGCTTTTTGACAATACGACCCGAAGCGAATTAATGCACCGCACTGTACAGTAAACAACGTCCGCTGTGACAAACATATTAATGTTGTCGAATGTCTTGAGAATTTTCAGATGCTCAGATTTCATGGTTCCTGAACTGAGCTTTAAATGTGCTTTTGATATCAATTTCTTTAAGAAGAAAGATGCATCTCTATTTTTTATACGTAATTATTCAATTTTGATATCGGAAATTATTCTGTACGTCACACGTACGATACGAAAGTTATTCTTCTAAAATAAGTTTGATAAACTTTTAGGTGACAATTTTATGCATTTATGTCTATTTCTATTTTATTTCAAATACTTTAGCAATTTCAACTAATTTTTCTTTGTTACGTATACAGATATAACAGATCATCTTTCTTCTATACATATGAATTTGTATTAGATAATTTATTTAGACTGCTAAACATGATTAACACAAAAACTTTATGTATGTAGCACACTTTCCTCGCAAGCCTTGGCAATCCCACAAGACGAAGAAACTGGAGAACTCTCAGAAGTGGACCAGCCACCCATCATACAGCTGGCAGCGTCTATCTGGTTCGGAATTTTGGCACATTCCAGTTTGCTTTGTTACTTTATGGTATTTCTTCATCAAATTAAGAATGCATCTGTGCTCTCAACACCATTGCCGCTCATGGTGTTCTTATGGGGTTCTTTAACGATCCCGCGACCCTCCAAAACCTTCTGGGTAACAATGATCGCATACATCGAGGTGAGAAGCATATTTTGTAATTTGTATTTAAATGTGTATGTCCAGAACTCTGTAAAATTGTCATTTTTAGGCCATAGTCATAATAAAATGTATTTTCCAACTGGAAATGATTCCCTGGAATCAGAAACCTCCAAAGAGCCATCCATTATATGAGCCGAGGATTATTGGTATCCTAAAAAGACCTAATTACGCTCTCTGGGATTTATTATTGCTCCTTATATTATTCTTCCATAGGTACAACTAAAAAGATACAATAACGAAAACGCATACAAAGAATATTTCGTAAAGAATAATGTCATATGATTCGTGTCTACAGATTTATGCTAAAATCTTTGGGGCAATGGACAGGTGCATTTTCAAAACCACGGAAAATTATTGCTTCCGAGTTACCTGCGATGCCGTCAAAGTCACCATCTTCAGAAACCAAAGAACAAGAAGAGCCCGACATACCGGAAGAAAGCGAGTACGTGAAAATTTCTCTTTTAAAAAATGTTTACGACATATGAAATTTTTATGTTTATAAATACATTATACTTCATTTTTGCTGTACTGCAGTTCTCATGTAGAGGAAAAAGAATCTCAAAGGCGATCTTCGAGCGTCCATGTATCGGGTGACACAGATAGTACTCTGCCCATGACAGATGAGAACAAGAAGCTCATGGCAGTACAAGGACAAGAGCATCCCGGCAGTAAATCATTTTCTAACACGATGAGTACTGCGTGAGTAGCTATTTGATTTAAACATGTTTTATCTATTTAAAAAACTATGTAGGTATTAATTTCAAAACTATATTTTTATTTTTATTTACTCTTAATATTTTATGTATAATATTATACATTAACAGGGAAGTAAAATATTTTTAACCAGGTTTTAATGTACTTTTCGATTGCTCTTCATTGTATTAAATCGAATTTTTCAGAGTCACTAAACTCGCCGAATCAATGAAAAACTTCTTTAGAAGAATTATTGATCCAGCCGGCAAAGAGAAAACAAATGTTTATGCCTACATGTTCATTTGTGACTTCTTTAATTTCCTTCTACTTATTTTCGGATTTTCTGCATTTGGAGTAAGTATATGGAAACAGGGGAGGCTTTGTAAAATTATTAGTATTTATATAAATAATAATATTTATTACTATTTACATGGATAGTAATGTTAATATAACACATTTTCTGATTTCAGACTCAACAAGGTGATGGCGGAGTAACAGCTTACTTTCAGGAAAATCGAGTTCCCATGCCTTTTCTATTGATGTTACTGTTACAATTCGCTCTAATCGTTATCGATAGGGCCCTTTTCCTTCGAAAATCTATTGTGGGAAAGTTAATTTTCCAATACTGCTTAGTATTCGGTATTCATTTATGGATGTTCTTCATTTTACCGAGCGTAACAGAAAGGTAAGACGCATTACATCACTGTTCTTTCCTAACGTTTATATCATATACAGCATATTCGCAATTGCAGACAATTCAACGATAAACTTCCTCCACAAATTTGGTACATGGTGAAATGCTTCTATCTTTTATTAGCGGCTTATCAATTGCGACAAGGATATCCGACTCGTATATTGGGAAATTTTCTGTGCAAAAAGTACAGCATTGTGAATTATGTTCTATTCAAAGGGTCAGTACAATGTTTATTATATATTTCTTTTATTTATACTATAATATATTAATCCAATAAGCTGCGCTTTCCAGGTTTATGTTGGTTCCGTTCCTCTTTGAACTTCGGGCAGCGATGGATTGGATTTGGACAAATACGTCCATGACTATAATGGACTGGTTTAAAATGGAAGATATCTTTGCCAGTATTTATCAAATCAAAGTAAGTTTTGTATTATAGAAAATATAATATAATTGTTACTTAAAACTTCCACATAATACTTAAACAAGAAGAATTAACTTTTCTCAGCACAGAAAAAATTTTTAATATAATTTACACGATATGCTTTAAATATACAACGCATAAAATTGTAACACGTTATTTTATAAAATTTTAGTGTATGCGAGGAGTCGAATCAGAGTACCCTCAACCGCGAGGAGTAAAGAAAAAACAAATGAGCAAGTACTTGATAGGCGGAAGTGTACTTTTGCTCATAATTGGCTTAATCTGGTTCCCTCTACTTCTATTTGCCCTCGGTAGCACCGTCGGCAAGTCGAATTTGCCCTATGATGTGTCCATAAAAGTACGAATTGGTCCATACGAACCTATCTATTCCATGTCGGCGCAAGGCAATTCTATCATCGAATATACGGAAGAACAATATAAATATCTTAGCACAACTTTATACGCGACGGAGAAATCGGCTGTTACTTTCTTCGAAAATTACATCCATTCTGATGTGGCTGCAGTAAGATTCGGTACTTTCTCAAGAAAACTTTGGGATATTTCTCTACCTGATAAAGAAAGGTTTGTCTCATGTAACAAAGTAATTATTACATCTAATAATTAACATCTAAAAACATATACAAGCAATAAAGCCTAATTACTTAATAAAAAGTTAATGGAAAAGCGTAGATACGCTCTTGAAAAAGAATTAATATTGATGATATCGATAGTTTTATGTTGGAAAGAGTTTGAAGAAAATTATCATTATCATCTTTTTCAGATTGATAAGCGAATTGGCTTCTAATACTACGGCGGTAACTGTACACGTCGAGTGGGCAGTTTCTCGGAAAACAGATGCCAAGGATACTTCTGGAACCACTACGACGGTTCAAGAGGTAAAATTGCCACCGATCATCAACGGTGAGTTCAATCCTGTAAGGCAAACTTTAGTGGACATGCTAAGTGAGAATCCCGGCGCAACAAATGCGACAATAATATTGCAAAACGCCTTGCCGAAGTTCCTCAAAGTTACCGCTAGAACTACCTATGTTGTCAGGCAATTAATGGAACCGTTACATTTATGTAAGTATAATCGAACAGTATATTAAAGCGTCGTTAAAGAAATAAACTAATTATTTGTAATATGTTTTCAGCAAGCGATGAATCTAATGACGAGAGCTATCTCTACAGAAACTTGAGTGTCCAATTATCAACGAACAAGGATTGTTGTGCTCATCAACAATTGTGGGCAATCCATGAGATATGCACTGGCTCTCCGTTCGCCGACTTTTTGAACAAGATACCACTGAACGACTGCAAGTATGTCACGATGTTCCTGTTCAACGACAAGGCTTTCCCCGAAGGATTAAGCTTTATCAGCGGATTTGGGTAAATTTATTAATAAAATTGTTTATTAACAAACAGAGAAAGTAGTTTATGCTCTCATAGACATTCTTGTAATAACACTTTCGAAAAATTGTGACTGTATCATGAGGTGGTCATTACGGTCCATATTGTCTCAAAATCGCATAATTACGAACAGGATCCTAGGATTATATACCACGGCAGTAATAGTCATAAGTCAAATGATGCGGAAAGTCGTCAGCGATATGGCGCCTAAGATTATGTTCGACGATTTACCCTACGTCGACAGAATTCTTCGCCTCTGCCTAGATATTTACTTGGTCCGTGAGAGTGGCGATTTATGCCTCGAAGAAGACTTGTTTGCCAAATTAATCTTCCTCTACCGATCGCCGGAAACATTAATCAGGTTGGACTTTTCATATACTTTTAGATTATAATTGAACTCGTGCAATTTTGATTATGTATTAAGATATAATGGGGCTAATAATAGAAATGTGTAACAGAGACTTTGATACAAGAAACAGTATTGTGGACAGTACAGCGTAACACTTAACGAATGTCAGTCAAAGACAATCGACTGATTTTAAATAAGATATATTTTATTTTCAGTTATACCTGCACCACATTTTCTTGACTGTATTATTCTTACACTCATCATACAAATAAGACACATTTACAATATAAGAACACAGATATACAATGTAGGAACAAGACACATGAACCAATGGACATGAAGTAATAGACGTGGAAAGAAAATTTATTCTTGAACAAATATGATTGCGAAAATTATTGTGTTAGGTGGACGAGACCGCCCGAAGAAGGAGAGCGGACAGATAACGAAGATCAAGATGAAGAGGGAGAAGAGATACCAGATGAAGGATTAAGACAAGTAGAACCATCGTCTCGTCGTGACTGAAACATGGGAAATAACAAAAGTTCTTAAATAATTAATGTTTTGTACACGCATTGTGCGCACCAGATATTATTTAACATGAAAAACTTGAAATTGCATTTCTTCAAGATATCTTTTTTTCTGAATAAATAAAACAATATTTATAGTGGAAACAATTTCCACTTTTAAAATTGTTAAAAAATACGAAAAATATGAAATTCAAGATTAAAAAACCATGGAATTGAAAAAAAAAGAAATTTTGTATATTTCTCTTTTTTCGTGAATATTTATTTATGGATTATTATGGAATTATGGATTTCTATAGAAAGAACTGTTAAATTTTTCGGAAGATGTTCAAAGAAAGCTCAATCAATAGATTTTTCTGGAAAATCAACTGCCCGATCAAAGTTTCGCAATGAGATTTTTTACCAAAATATTATGAAAAAACATCTTAAACATATAGCAAAATATTTATCGTTGTAATATAATTTATCTCGATGGTGAGATTGATGTGAAGAAAGTTAGCAAATACTAATATCATGCATACATTTCTTAATTTAATTAATATAAATTTTTATGTTGCAGAGAATTCTGAACTTTACATGAGACTATTCATTATAAAATGCAATTACACGTCTACTACAATGTATTAGATATAATTATATATTTGTATAATTATTAATGTAATATGTCTTTTAAGTGGCAGATTTTGGTTGATTCCTGCAAGCAATCAAACAAATGTATACTTTACAATTTGCATTTGTTATTTGCATTTATTAACTGATTTATTAATTGATTTGAACAAATTTTGTACCATTACGCTACAATTGCGTATTAAAATTTTTGTGAAAAGTATTTGCAAAACATCAATACGGACATCGCAAATGTTTAAAAATGAATTTACCTATTAATGAACAGTGCAATTATTTGAAAATGCTTTTATTGTCAAAGTTTGTGTGCTTAGTAAAATATGTGTATGTGTTTCTAGATTGTGCATTTAATTAAAATGAATTTATTCTTAAGACATTGATCATGAAATAATCGACATGATGATTTCTCAATCATTTTTATACGTACTATTAGTTACGAATGTGTGCAATCTTGCAACTTGGCTAATTTGCCAAAGATATCCACACCTAATTTAATGAGAAATGTATCGCAAGAAGAGAATGTTTATATTGTATATAAATATGTGTATGTGAAAATATAGCAGCGTATCGAGTATTTCTCCGAATATATGTATATACTTACACATTTTCCAAAAATATCTTTTTAAAATCCTGGGAACTTCATCAGTATTCAATACACCAGATATTAGTTTCTTTTGATAAATCGTTAGAATTGATCATGTTAAATATTACAACAGTGAGAATAAAACTGTATTCAACTTCGATATACGAGGAAATTGGAGACATCATAAAAAGTAAATTTATGTAAGTAAATATATTTGTTTATTAAATATTACAAAAATTTTATTATAGGATAAACTCTTAACGCACATATATCTAAGAACTAGCATCTAGTAACGTTTTTTAAAAAAAATAAATTATTTTAACGATGTAATGTCATCGATATTACATTTTAATACATCAAGGCACTTACTTTACTATATGGATTAATAGTTAAGTAATCTTCATAGCACTATTATATTATGGCATTAGTTAAAAATAAATGCGAATATTAATAGTTTAGTAAGTGTGATCTCTTTTGGTAGTATTAGCAAGGAATACTTCTTTCAATCTTGCAATATGTAACGCGTTTTTTTCAGTGTCAAGAAATTAAAATCGTAAACGTCCTAATTAGCACTTTGTGCAAAATAAATTGTTAAACATTTTATGGTCCAACATTTCATACAATCGTCTGATATTATATCTGAGACAGCTCGGTACATTTTAATTTCAATGTCATGTTTTCTTGTCTCAAAAATTCAAGCTCCTCTAATTTAGTCTGCAGATTCTCGTTTCGCATTCGCATAGCCATCAACTCCTGATGCAATTGTTCATTCTCCTCAATCAGTGCTTTCACTCTAGCAGAATCTTTGCTGGGATGCATTTCTTTAACCAGGTCATCAGTTTGATTCAAGAGATTTTTAATCAAGGTAGCTTGAGAGTTTATATGTAGCTCCTGCATAGCGCGCAGAATCTTCGTGCTCTCTTGCTTGGTATACGTGCTTATCAGTTCTTTAATAGCAGTGAGTAAAACAACTGGATCCTGATCTTGTAGTTTGAAGCCTGATCTTCTTGATCTCTCCGTAAATTTTTCCTTCTCTTTCGTCAGATTTTGAGAACCAGCCTCTTTAGAAGAATCCGACGGACGGCTATTTTCCTTACTGGAAGCATCTGAGGAATTGTTATTAGAAGAATCAAGAGAACGTCTGTACTCCTTAGAGGAAATATTCGTCGAATGAGTGGTCTCTTTAAGGGATGCCGAACGTCGCTTATAATCTTTATTCTCATGCGCCTTAGGATACTTTATCTCATGAAGTTTTATCTTGTTTTCTCCGCTAGCGCTCTGCTGATTGTTGCTCACTTTTATTTTCATATCTACAGGCTTTCCTTTACTGTCCGCGTTCTTCTCAGTTTTCTCTGACGGCTTCAAGCTCACAAAATGTTTTTTCACATTCGGATCAGAGTATCTCTTGGAACTTTTCGAAGAGGACTCTTTACTAACTACAATCTTAATGTCAGACGCACTTGGAACTGTTGCCATAAAATCCTTCTGTTGCATAACGTTATCTTTCTCATCTTGTTTCGAGAAATGAACCAGCGGAGAAGAAGTAGCATGCCTGGTAGTTACATGGCGATCTAATTGCTGAGACGTCTTCTTTGATTCCTTTGGTATTAACTCTAGCTCTTCCAAGAAGGAATCATTCATTTTTAATATCCGTATGTAGACGTAACGTAAATATCCAACTTGATGTCTACAGCAGACACGTTACAGCAACTGTAAGAAGAAAAAGGATACAAAACATTAACATTTGTTTTTGCATCTTAATTAATCTCGTTGCACAGTTTAACACACCAACGATAGTTTTGCTTGCATTGCTATTGTAATTACATTACGATAAAACGTGCCAATACATTATTAATGTTACAAATGCGTTACAGGTAAAGAAATATTTATAAATTCGCGACGCACAATAGCAGCTCAGTCAACTAGAACCGGAATTAAGTATAGTAAACGGTACCGCTAACCTTGCCGTGATCGCCAACGCCACACAAATGGGAGGGAAACGTATCGGTTGCGGCTAGGTTAATCAGCTGATCGTACAGGGAGCAGCCAGATGCCGCGCTTGTAGTCTGCCAAACATACGTATAGCCTACAGGAAACAGGCGAATTAGCCAATGATCTTCTAGTATTATTTACAGCGAAATAGTAGATTGGTTGGTTAGAAGCGTTCTCTTTGCTTCGTAAAACATCGCTATTCGCGCGTGAAAGGAATCGTGTTTGTTATATTTCGCCATCATTTTGGCCGTTACCATATTTGTTAAAATCATGTAGGCAGTAATAATTTATATATTTATGTACATTCATTACATATATTTGTATGTGTAAAAAATACAATGAAACAAAATAATTAAAATAATGAAAGAGTAAACAAAGAGAATTATCATGTTGTACAAAAAATATGAGAATGGTAAATATATAAAATCGACAAATAATGAAGTATCGCTTGTGCTCTATTAAAATTAACGACGTGTAATTAAGGCCAAGTTCAACAATTTACAATTATTTTAATAAAGAGTCTGTGATGCTTGTTGTGTGAAAGTGAGAGCTTGTTGAACTTGGCCTTAATTACACGTCGTTATTTTTAAAATCGACAAATTAATTTTCTCGCTAGTGAATATACATGAAAAGTCTGAAAATAATAATGTAATAAACATATGTGACAATTAAGATACTCATAAAATCAGCCGAGCAAGAATAATATTAAGTATTTATATCATTACTTGTACATACATTTCTTTAAATTTGAAAATTGTCTATCAAATGCATTATAGACCAAGCCTAACGAATTTTTAATTGATCCCTATCTATAATCTATAGACTTTACTACAAATCTGGTAAATCCTAAAGGGAATTCTGATTCGTCCAGTTTCTAACAGACGACTGGTTGAATCTATCAGACTTTTTTCAGTGCAGATATCTGTACGATATTCTACGCCTATCTGTCCAGAAACCACGGGCACATATCAAAGACAGCTGGTCTCTAGTGACTGTAATCAGAGATATCTGCGTTCCTTCCGGAAATCATAAGTTCTTTCGGGATATTAGTGAAGAGTGAAGTGACGTCCAGTGATACACGCAGATATCTCTGATTGCAGTCACTAGAGACCAGCTGTCTTTGATATGTGACCGTGCTTTTTGAACAGATAGGTGTAGAATGTCGTACAGATATCTGGCTATATTATAAAAGGGGCTTCCCAGAACGGACACTATAATGCGTAGCGGATGATTTAAACACTAGACTTAACGAACTGAAAAGACGGGCTATCACTCATACTGACGCAACCGCTAATAAAAAAAGTTTAGACCCTAAAAACTTTATGCAAGTTTATATTCTGTACGATTAAAGTAATACTTTACGATTAAAGTAAATACTTCACTTTTGCAAAATATTACTGTTTTGTACACTTTTTTTATAGTTGGCCATATTATCCACCCCACGTTTAATATGGCCAAAACGCATACTTTCAGATTCTTTTTTTTTCTTCGAATATGGATAGATTTTAATTGATCAAAACATTTTGTCATCAAAGCTTATTAAATACACTAGAATTTCAGAAAGTTACAAAATAAAATAACCAGCGGTTTGAAAATTATGAGGATACATGTAATTATAACAAATATTATAGTAATTTAAGAAGAGAGACATATGTATGTATTTGTCTCTTTCTGGACATGTCTTTATATATCTGTTGGTTTATACGCGTGCAACTCCTTCTATTACCACGCTAATCCATTCTATATGTAGATAATATAAACGTACGCATGCAAATTGTCTCCATATCTAAAATCAACGTAAATTGATGACCTGATTTAAAACTCTAAAGCATATTGCCAGAGACAATATTTCCAGTGAGAAATGACTCGTCGATTCGACGTCGTTTCGACGTTGATCGACGAATCATTTCTCACTGGGTTTAACGTCACCTTGGATCTTATTTCGACGTCGAAAAGAGGTGTTTCTTGTGACCAAATTTACGTAATTTCGACCAAGCTTTTCGATGTCATTTTGACGTCAACATTTCGACATTTCGACGTCAAAATAACGTTTTTTCGACTTTACATTTCTCACTGGGTCGTATGCTCACATAGAATGTTCTGTTTAACTACAGATAAAATTTCAAAGGAGTAACTTAACCAAGAGACATATCGCTCCGGGCCCAGATATCATAAACTTTTAAGACTAAGATAAGTCCCAAATGGTGAGAGACTCCCGCAGAGAAGGTTCTCGTCATTTCGGGGTATAAATACGAGCGCTAAACGCCGTAGGACCAGAAAGAGAGTATATTCCACAAGTAATTAATATTTGGTATCCGACACTCAGTTTTATTACTTTTGATTCGACACTCAGTTAATATTCAACTCTTCAGGCGTCAGTGTTTTCGGGTTAAACCCTTAGAAGGTTTTGAGCCCCGACACCAGACTTCCCACACTTCCAAAATTCTCGTTCTGTCTGGACTTAGAAATTGACCATCTTGTAAACCTTGAAGATACAAATAAGAGGTAAACCACTGTAAGAAATCTTCCACATATTAATACAACTCCTCCTTGTGATCCTATCCTTCTCTGGTCACTGTCGAGGAGTCCGATTCTCGGTAAAGCTCTTCAATGTGTCGAAAAACGAACGCAACAAATGCTCTTGTCAAATCGTGACAGAAGCAAGAATTGAAAATTCTACAAAAGGGTGTACCGATTTCACAGTTTTTCCGGATATTAGTAAACAATTAAAATTAAAAGTGATTGGTATAATCAGTGGTATCTTTTTTTATTACATCGATATTACAATGATATATTTACATCATTGTTACTAACATACGTTGAGATTTCTTTTGCTCTGTGCTACAGAGCTTATAGAACGAACATGTTCCTATAAAATGCACTCCTTAATGATAAAATACAATACCAATGTAAGTTTGCTTTATAGGATAAAATAACTAAATACAAAATTGTTTTTGTCGTAAACGCAACGAACCGTAACCATTTTTCCGCGTCAAGTAGGACGATACTAATTCTTAATAACCATCGTATAAAAAATTGCTCGCATATTCCTATGAAACGATAACGTAACATTGAATGATATAACAATCTAATCGATTTAATGATCTAGGCGGTCATTATATAATTAATCTAAGAATAATACACGTATAAGGCCAACCATAATATGCGTCAATGTAATGTCTAACAAGAGACAAGAAAAGTTACGTTTCTACGTGTGATCTATTAATACCTCAGGATCCAAGTTTATTCTGAAAATTATCTTCAAACATGAAATAGACTGTGATCTCTCGGACTGTAGTAACAGTTCCTTAATTTATGTAATTTATTGTTTATACTTTAACTTTAACATCTTTCTTTTCATACACACACATTTTACTTTTTATTCTTTATCTTTTGTGTATTATACTGATCACTATTTATTCTTCATTTCCTTTTATTTGTATATTATTTATCTTTTTATATATGTATATTATTTAACTGTAGCAATTTATTATTGGGTAACAATATTTATCAACAAAACATATTTTATATCTATACAAAATTATGTGTAATATATGTACAAAATACTTAATACGTACAACTCATAAAAAATAGACTTAGTCATGTTCTTCTACAACTTTGTAAGTGATTAATCACAATGTTTTTCAAGCGCGATTTTTCTCACGGTCTTCTTGTTTACATCTCAATTATCATCATAATGAACTTTGAGATTGAAAAGATTAAGCATATTAAAATAGTATCTTAGATGTAATGTAAATCAGTTAAATCATAATATCTGTTTTCACATATATATAACATTTATGCAATAAATGGTTATATCATCAACTGCTTCCAAGTATAAATACGCGGTTAATATATTGATGCGTTACAGTTTGAGGAAAAACGTTTAGCAGAATCAGCGAATTACGAAGTGCTCTCGAAGAACAACAGAATGAAGACTCTGGTGCTCATCGCATGTCTGCTGGTAAGTCGAACAATATGATTTAAATAAAACAATGTACAATAAAAAAGTCCTTTTAATATTTGTTTTTTTTACTCCATTAAATATGATAAAAAATTGATTAAAACATTTAAGCTCCTATACTTTTAATTTTTTATACTCATATTCACTGTTACTAAGTTCGCGACAAAAATTGCACTTATATACTTTTATTGTCAAATTGTTATATTACCTGAGCGATATTTAAATATCTCAGATTTAATTGCGTACATGTAAGAACTATTCGGATATCACTACGATAACTAATTCAAAATACATTGTATATACTTTGCTTTGTGAAACAAATCCGAATAAAATCCATTATTCAAATTTTGTTTAATAACTTCAAATAATTTTGCATAAGAATTAACGTTTCCTATCATTGTCCTTGTAATTGTGTTCTAAGCAAATTATTCTTAGATTTTAAGAGTAAAATTCAAACTTTGAAACCTGAAAATACGATATTGCAAGAAACATAGAATATTTAATAAGTAATATTTCAATTGTAAAATCAAAACAACTAATTTTACAATCAAAAATGTTTATAAGTGTAAAGTGCACGTAAAAGAGATTTAAATGTACTTTGACTACAATTTGATTCTGTTCGGAAGTACAAGTTTTTACACATACATCAAAGCAATCATAGAGGTTGTAAAACTATTTCATTCAAATCTATTTGAAATCTTGAAAAGTTTCGTTTTTCAAAATAATCACAGAGATTTTAAAATATCCACACGTATAGATGCAAACCTATTTATGAGATATTTAATCTTATCCCTGCTCCCGAATGCCATCCCTGATGGAAAAATTTTACTGAAAATGTAATGAAATTGATAAAAAGTGAAATGAAAGTTATTGGAAACTTGTTGAAACCATTTCAAAATAAATCATAAGTTTCGTTATGAAATTCAATAAAATACTGTGAAATTAGATGAAAATTAATTAATATTACTAAAAATTAGTGAAAAATTTTAGAAATGTTGTATATTATGAAATTTGCAGAATTTCACTGAAAATAAATTTTTTAATGAGAAATTGCTGAAATGATAATGAAATTGGGTCAATTGCAAGAGATTTTCAACCAAATTTCAGCAAATTTTATTACGTTTTCAGTAGAGACCCTCTAATAAGAGTCTGGCCATAACAGCGATTGTGGCAAAATCCTACGAGAGAGAAAGATATATATTTGCTATCTCGAAGATAGCAAATATATATCTTTCTCTCTCGTAGGATTTTGCCACAATCGCTGTTATGGCCAGACTCTTATTAGAGGGTCTCTAGTTTTCAGCAAAATTTTTCCATCAGGGATTGTTAGCATTTAATACAAAATAATGTATAAGATATATGTTTACAAGAATATTATACACTGAAATAATTGTACAAGAAGCTATTGCACCTGTGATACACAGGCATTTATTTAAATACATGAAACTACCAAACTATATACTATTTCACCTCTCTTGTCATCTCGTTGCAGGATTGTGCTAATATTAAACTGTTTTATTCTCACAACAGTTTGCTTAAATCTATATTCAGAATACATAAAAAACATGTTTAAAGTTTAAATAATTTTAACATAATTTAAGTAATGTTATAAACATAAGTTATAAGAAAATTCATAGGAAAAGTATTAGAAAGACGATACTAAATATATAAGACTAAGGGCAGGGTTGTTTCAACCTCTTGATAAGTTCACTAATAGTTAAATTATATATATATATATGTCTTTGCTTTTCCTTTAACTCAGACGAAGATAGACATATAATTGAACTATTTAGCTTACGAGTTTGAAAAACCGGCCCTAAATAAGCCTTTTGAATTTTAGGTAGTGGCCTACGCTGCCAACCCAGCAGTATTAAAACGACGTGCTGAAAACGCTGTACAATGTGCCCAGGAATTAAACAAACCACGTAAATATTGTATATTATAATTAAATACTAGTATCCAATACTAGTTCCTTTTTACGAAAAGTTATCAAGTTTTTAATAATAAAAATATTTACTTTTAAAATTATGAAACATTCAAGAGACACATGTAGATGGACATTTCTAGAAACCATATTCCAACACCATGAAATAAAAAGTAGGGAAAATTAGAAACATAGAATTGAGAGAATTGAGATTAAGCATATGTACTTAAGTATTAAAATGAAGAAATTTAAGTTGATCGGCATAGCATTTGTGATGATCATATATTGAAGAATCTATAATTATTAGATCATTAAGCATTTTAAATAAAATTTTGTCTCAGATCAGAAGTATGTCAAATCCATAATTTTTTTTCAGCGACTTCAGAGGATGTAATCTATTGCGTTCTTCAAAAGGATGGCGTGGTATGTCTCTATATTTATAGATAGTACATAAATACATAAATTTATATGCAGAATGCTATTGCATATACATGTCGCTGTTCTTTATATCTTAAATAAAAAATCTTAACTTTGTCACAAAACTTAAATATAATGATTTAATAGTTAAACACATTGCAATTCTTATACTTGCGGGAAACTACAAATGTGTGACTCATAAAAACTGCTTATATAATTATATTATTGAAATAGTCAAAAGACTAGTTAATTTTCTCTGCGCTGATGCATATATTGTTACATATATTGATACATTATTCTCATATGCATAATTGCAATTTAATTTGAATTATTGCAACAAATCTATTTCATATATACAAGTATTATAATTGCAGATTACAAGTGACGTAATATAAAAAAAATTGTATCTGTAGTGATTAGACAACTTAATTGCTAGATTGTATTAATAT